TCGATTTGTATGGGAGTAAAGTTAAGGTGGCCTCCTTCCACTGTTTTGGCAAATGGCACTGAAGTAGATAAAGATGGAATTATTTCCTTAAACTTGGTAACAGCATTGCCAGATAGACATCTGCTGTAGTGGAATTGTTTCCCACATAGAGTATAATCCATTAATGGAAATTCAAAAGTTATTAGAAAATGGTCAGACACTACAATGCTGTTTGCTAATTATAGTTATTACACATGCATTATTTGTTCTTTTTCAGGCTGCGAACAGCTGAACTTATGTCTGGACTGCCTGGCTTCAGAGTACTCCACTGTTAAGTTTTGTCGTATTGATGTTGTGGCGACAGGTGCTGCTGAGCACTTCTCCTCTGAGGTTAGTAGACTATAAACACAATGAGCAAAAAATGATTAAGACAATATTATTATTAATATTCGAGACTAATGGGGTGTTAAAAGAATTTTCAAAGAAGCAACGAAGTCACTGGAATCTTTCAATAAGAGATTGGTTTACTTGCAGCAAAGAGACAAGTCAGCATAGGCATACAGAGTTGTCTGAATGAGCTTAGTCTAAACAACAACAATAATATATAAACGATATATAGGACAAAGGAAACTCCCTAAAGACGCATCCCAGGCATTAATCAAGTTGAAAAGAAGATTTGAACAGGAAAAGAGAACTTGAGAGGCTTTGCCCTGATAACCCCTGAGACACTAAACAATATGTTGTCTGTTTATCTTCACAGTGTATGGCAGGAACAGTTTATGGCTGGTTCCTTTAAGTCTGGGATGCCATCTGGTTGAACATATAACAACACATAGAGTACTAAAACAAAGATAAAACATGTCCTTCAGTTCACACATGCAGTGTCTCACAGGTCCCTGTGATCTGTGGTCTGTTTTGAAAGGTTAAAATCCATTGAATAACTTATGTTGGTTAATATATTGATTAGAACACAGTTTAAAACATACTTAATAATGTAATTTTCATGACATGGGGACACTGAGCTGTAGTACTTGCAGTATAATTTCTAGTAGTGGCAGTATCAGAGTTTGTAGTTTTGTGGGTCCAACAGTACCTGCCCCATGACAGAATGAATAAAAAGGAGGAAAGGAGCATGCAAACCCTATCTCCAAAGGAGACAATCTACTGAGTGTTGACTATTAATGCCTTCATTAAAACGTGACCTCCATGAAGACTATCAAATAAAGTTTTATTTCTCACCACCACCGCCGCTTCCCCTCTCAGTGACACTTTAGCTCTCTCAGCTGCAGCTCCTTCTCTTTCATTAGCTCACGGTCTTGTAGTCTTCTTGAGTATTTGGAGGCAGGGACTACCCTACAGGAACTAAATGTTGAAATGAGACTTCTTGAGTTCCTCCACTAATTCTTGGTCCCCTGAGAAGGTTTGTGCAGTGGAAGCACCTTATGTAGCAATCAAATATATATTTAAGACTATTTTGCAGGGATCTCAGTGAGCCAAAAACATTAACAGCTCAGCCAAAGGCTCTGTTTTCCACCAACCCACTATGTAAAGGTTGATTGCATGGCCGACTACAGCTGATCAAATCTGCAACCAACAATAATTTCAGTTGGCAAAACTAATGTCCCCAAGCTAAAAATTCAAAGCCTGCTTTTGTTTTCTTCTTTGTTAAATCAAGAAACCATGGATTCATAAGACTGCAGTGAAAATTAAGCGGTAAATCTGCCTCTGCTATCACTGTAAACCGCATCATAACAGGCATAGCAGTGATAGCTACATAACTAGAATATTATATCTGAATTAATTATATTAAAGTTGTTGTGCTATAGAGCATTGTTGTGTTTGAGGTTTGCCTTTAATTGTAACATCTTTTACTGTTCTTTCAACTGTTATAGATAAAAAATTGAATTTCCAAAAGGCTAAAAACAAAAGTAGCTAAGTGGTTATTTTGTACATATTACATGCAGTTCAATTTTTTAAAAGAACTGTGTTATGGAAAACGGTTATAGTATTACAGTTACAAGATGCAGAGTACCTACTCTGTCACTGCCACTGTTATATAATGACCCTCATAGACAGCATGCAAGTACATTTGGATTCCTTTTAACATCCTTCCAGGTCCTTCCTGCCCTGCTGGTCTACAAGGCGGGTGAGTTACTTGGTAATTTCCTGGCGGTTACCAAACACTTCAATGAAGAGTTTTTTGCAGCAGATGTGGAGGCGTTTCTCAATGAATATGGCCTTTTACCTGGGACAGAGTTCACAGTGTGTGCTAATAATGAGGGTGAGGATGTGGAATAGCAGAAGAAAGAAAGAGAAACAGAAAAAGGATGATAATTGAGAGAAGGAGAGAAAAGGAGGAACTGTAGAAGATCAGAGAAGCCAGGAAGGCCCTATCAGTAAAAAAGCAAATGACAGGAGAGCTGAAAAAATGAACTGGAGTAAGTGGAGGATGACAGTGGCACAGTGATCCAGCCAGTGCACACATGCACACACACACAAGGAAACAAAGCATATACAGTACATTGTATGTACAGATACACACATGCAATAGTAGACATGTAAAGGCATACACATGAATGCTTATTGTATCTAGAAGCAGTTTACTGTGAGACACATCGTATGTTCTGAAAAACTGCTCAGAAGTCAGCTATCATAGTTCTTCAATTAAAATGGCTTTACAAAGGTGATCCTTGTCTGCTTGCATCTGTATAACATTGTATACACTACAACAGGACTGCAAAAACCCTAAAAGTACATTTCTGATCTTATGATCTCACAAAGGAATATCTTTTAGCAGGTCAACTCGACCTCTCATTATTTCATGTAACAGCATATTTATTTACCACAATGCTGTATAAAGTATGCAGAGCGCTATGTAATACTGGAGGGAACACTAGGAAACAGATCAACTTTTCTATGAAGCTCTGATGACCCACCATCTATGCCTGTTTCAGTCTATTGTAACCACACACAACACCTGGGGATGTGTTTTACAGTAGCTTTGACCTATTTCTGTCTATTTATATTATAGTTTTTGTGCTTCTTTAGACAAACCTTTTGCTAAAGTCCATCAGTCAAGGTAAATAAACTCTTAATAAATGTGAGAATACACTTTGGGCCCATATGACCATAACTGGCTGTCTGTACCTTAAAGGTAGGTAATGATTCATCCTGTGTAAATGACACTCTATAAGACGGGCATAGAATCACTGTTGTACCTTTCATCATATATGATGTAAACGTGGCTCATTGAATAGCTGCATTAAAGTGTTTTTTAATCTGTTAACTTGATTAAAACCTGTCATAATGAACAAAGAGAACATCATCAGGTGTGCAGTTATTTTTATCAAACAAAACAAAAATGACAGATTACTGCTTTGTAAGAAACTAGGCCAGATAACTGGTAGTTGCAATAGCTGTCAGGTCTTCGGCTGCTCGTGTTCAGGACCTGCACCCTCCTGCCAGCATCGCTGGACTCTACATTCTGTAACACGTGTCCCCGGATTCTCCACTCATTCTCTGTGAGCACCACACTGCCTAGCTGCCTTCGCCCTCTCCTGAGTCCTCAGCCTTCACCCCCCACACCCACATTCTGAGTCTCAGCATCCTTGCACTTCTCTTTGTTCATTAAAAATTTAAGTATATTACTGTGTTTTCCGGCTGTCTGTTGTCCTGGCTCTGGGGTCCTCTATGCCTTGTGAGCCGACCGTCTTCAATAGCAGTGTTTACAGATAGTCAATGTCAGTTATAAAAGCCCTCTAAATTCTAAACTAGGGAAATAAAGCTATAGGCTAAAGCTATATTTCTGTATAGTGTGCTGCATTAACAAGAGGTGATTAAGGTACAGGCCAAGCAAGATAACAAAAAGCAGAAGTTACAGTGACTTCAAAGCTTTATGCCAAGTGGAAAGTAAAGTAAAGTGAGGAATTAAGGTCAATTGGTTGGCATTCAAAGAGAAGCCCCTGGGTTGATATGTGCTGCTGCTGCCCCTCCATCTGCTATTCAATACAAACAGTGTTGGCTGTAGATGGTCAAGTGTGATTATGAACTATGGCTGATTATAGTTACAATATAATAATATTTTTTAATTTAGGCTGAATTTATATGCAAAGCCTCAACTTATTGAAACGATCTTGGAAGGAAGAACTCCACTTTTGCTGTTTCAGCAGTGGTGCTCAATAAATACTGGCTACAGACACAGGTTGGCAGACCTTAACTATCCTAGATTATATAAGAGATAATCATACTGACTCCAGTGGGCCGGGTGACAGAAATGCACCACTGATTGGTTTCAGTCTGTAACTGAATGAATAAATAAGGAGAATTTGTTGTTTTATTAATTTTTTAGTATTTTGTTTAGTTCTTTGGCTTAAAGGTAATGAATTATGAAAGGGGATAGATAATAGTTCACATTTATTCAGGTTTAGGGTTACACCAGAGGCCTCTAAAAATAAATAAATACAGATCATCTATAACTTTCAGAATTTGATTTAAGTTGTATTATCTGCTAATTGGCTTATAAGTACTGGGGAGCCCATTACATTTGAATGCATGTGTTATATAAAGAACTGTAGCTTGGGCTTAGATGACAGCCTTGATGGAATCCATGATTAATCACAATCTCTTAGCAGTGCCAAATGGGAGAGAAACTGAAATATTATATCACTATTTCCATTAGAGTAATGAACCCCTGACCAAAACGAAAGTATTTTAATACAAATTTTTTTTTTAATTCTTCTTCTTTTTTCGGCTGTTCCTGTTAGGGGCCCCCACAGCGAATCATCTGTTTCCACCTAACTCTATCCTCGGCATCCTCTACTCTCACCCCAATTAACTTCATGTCCTCTTTTAGCACATCCATATATCTCCTTTTTGGCCTTCCTCTTGACCTCTTGCCTGGCAGCTCCATCTCCAACATCCTTCTACCAGTATAACCACTATCCCTCCTCTGCACATGTCCAAACCATCTCAATCTGGCCTCTCTGACCTTGTCCCCAAAACAGCCGACCTGAGCTGTCCCTCTGATGTGCTCATTCCTAATCCTGTCCATCCTGGTCACTCCTAAAGAGAACCTCAACATCTTCATCCCTGCTACCTCCATCTCTGCCTCTTGTCTTTTCCTCACTGCTACAGCCTCTAACCCATACAACATAGCTGGTCTCACTACTGTCTTGTACACCTTTCCTTTGATTCTTGCTGCCATTTTTTTTTTTAAATTATGGTCTATTAAATGAAATGTTTTATTGAAGTCCAGGAACTGGTATCAAGAATTTAAAGGCTATGTAGCTACATCAACAGTAGGTGGCGATAGTGATCCTTATGTTAACAATCCCCCGATTAAACAAAGAAGAAAATCGGTTGCGGTCCATCATGTAAACACTCTGCATCCAGGTTATCCTTGTAGTACTAACGATTAATGTATGAATGTGTGTGGTCGTGATTTGGGGCGATTCATTATATGTGATTAAGCTATTAAGTTCATTTAAAATTTGAAAGCTTAAATTTGAGGAAGATGCAGGATGACGCGTGCTACCTCAAACGGTGAGACCTATAAAGGCTAACATGACTGTTGTTAATGTAGCGTTTTCTTTGGGTTTGGGGGTAATGTCATCTAGCTAACGCTCCTAACGTGTGCTTGCTGTGACAGACATATTTTAAAGCCACCTTATTTTGGAAGAGCGCTCTAATAAATTAAAAGTAAGGAGCTAATCTACGTGAATCAGCAGGGAATCCTCGTGTGTTGTGTGGCGAATTTCCACAGTGCCGAAAAAGGCCTTAAGGAATCAATAAAGCTCTTTGATTTTGTTTTCGCCGGTAAGCACAGCGACATTTAACCGAGAGGTTGTGAAAAGAGATTTAGCAGGAACTTAAACGAAGTGGACGGGGATATGTGGGTTAGCTCACCTAGCTAGGTTTATTGGATGATATAGAGAATTTGATTACTGTCCGGTAGTTTACACAGTGGCTTGAGCAAGTCAGTATGAGGAAGTTGTCAGAAATGAGTGAAATAAGTTTGATAGCTGCATGTTTGACACGTGGACACGGAGAGACTGACTTCATTGTACTCATTTATTGTATAATTCGCTGCATGTGAACATGAAATAGGTTCCCTGGAGTTTGACAAAGCTATGGAACAGAATCAATGTATGGGTTATTGTTTGCATACCTGTCTGTCTTTCATGACCCAAAGCAAAGTGACTGCAGGCAGTTTAGATGTCCATCCCACGGAGATGGCCCTTGTGGTCCACTATGAGGTGGAAGCATCTATACTGGGAGAGGATGGAGGTCATCTGCTGGGGGAACGCAAGGAGGGGCAGAAGATGTGAGTGGACTTGATTTTATAAGCACAACTACCATTGTTTCTGTTAGGGTGGTTTTCATTTTTAGATAGAAAACATAAGAGAACACATTCAACATTTCACCACATCCGCTGGGGCTGTTTCTGCTTGAACTGAAGTTGACTGATCATGGTCACAGATGATGCTCTATTGTATAATCTTCTTCTCTCCATCTACCTCAGATCATCATTGTTTCTTCTTTTCACTACATCTTTTCATTTGTTTATTCTATTTGGATTAGATTAGTTTTATTCAGAACACTGTGTTGTCTGTTCTGTGTACTATTATCCATCGTTACTGGATAGGAGTAAGTAAATGTATTACCAGTTATTTGATTGGTGTGCTAAAATGATATGGACTAGTGTCAAGCAAACTGACTCGTGTGTTATCAGCTGGTTCATACAATCTTTGTGAAACTTAAATGCTATTGGTACTTTTTAAAAAATTTAACCAAAAGTATTTTGGGTTAAAAGTATTAACCAAATGTCACGGGTTTGTTTTTCAGCTTAATTTTAGGATTGGAAATGGTCCTTTACAGGGATCTGCATAGTTTAGTATTTGATTTCAAATACTCAATCTCATGTCATCAACATGTTCCAAGATGTGGTAAACGAATGAAGTCAGTCACCCTTTACCTGTCACCCTTCTCTTTCTTTCTCCCTCCAGTGTCCGTGTGAAAAGTCTTTCTCCTAGTACAGATATAGGAGCTTTGGCCAAGAAATTGTTGGAGGAGTGTAAGCTCATCCCTCCTTCCCATTTGCCCCAGGTGGAGCAGCTCCTCTACTACCTGCAGAACAGGAAATCATTCCCAGCTGAGGGCAAAGGTGAGTCATATCACCAGTATTGATCCCTGGCTGTGGAGTCTAAAAATATCTAAAGTTTCACCATCAAAATTTGATCACAAACTTTCAGTTAAGGTGTGGCAATACACTTAGTTCACGAGACAAGACAATACACGATACCTGGTTCACGAGAATGAGATGACACAATATTTTAATACTGTTTTTAAAGCTGAAGAGATGGATCTCCGCAGTTGACAGCTTTGCATAAAAAAAAACAAACATGGAGAGGAAGAGCTGGTCGTAGACGGTCCGTCGTCATGGCTGTCATATGTTTGTGTGTGTGTGACAGAAACAGAGCGAGACATGGAGGGACTGAGTGAACATGTGCTACACATGCCATTATATTGAAATAAGATTTAACCTGTGTATTTTAAATCAGTATGTGCCGGTCAGTGTTGATATTGTGGCGGTGTGTCACAAATAAATCAGTGTATGGGAAACACTGAGCAGTGTGTGATCTTCTAACTGAACTCCTTTCCACAAACTGAACATAAAAAGTGGCGGGGGCATCTTCTATGCTAATCTCACCCTCACACTCTGCTATGCTGGCTGCTGCTCTGGTTTTGCTATGTACAGATATCGCGGCACAGCTTTTCACCTAGACAGTAAATATAATCCTGTTTTAATATCATGAGATCGTGGCCCATGAATCACACACATGAATTTTTACTTATAGGCTTCCAGTTTTGTTACTGGGATGTCTGATCAGAAACATTACCATGTAGAGGCACATATGGTTGGCAGATTTGAGGAGTGTTACAGCATGTGTTTCCCATGTAGATACAGTTCTGCACACATTGTTGGAAACAGTGAGAAGATTGGTGTAAATGTACAGTATTTAATAGCAGTGTAAACCATCTAATAAATTAGTTACAACTTGTTGGCTGTTTGTGTCAGTAGTGGAGAAGAAGGAGAAAAGACCTGTGAAACCGAGAGAGCTGACACCATTTGAAGGAATGGAGGTAACGGATCACTTCACTGTCCAAGTCTGCCTGTTCATGCACCTTGTTCCTTTATAGCCATTTCAGTTTGATCTCAGTTCTCACTCAGAATTCCCCAAATTTTGCTCTGTGTTTTTTCATGACCTGTGTAAACATGAGCGACCTTTTCCCTCTGCAGTTTACTTAATGCAATCCAGCCAACTAAACCCAAGGGACACTGTTATGCTTATAAACACAGCCCCAAGTTGCACAAATGCACTGTAATTGCGACTGTTTTGGGACTTAAATTAGATTTGCACTATCATCAAATGTGAGGCCTCTCTTATCAATAATTTATGATTTCCCTTTTATTTATTTCTGTTTAATGTACCTTACAGTATGGCTGGTGAAAGAAGAAAACCACAAAGCTTCAAATCTCATGTTAATTCATTGTTATACTGAAATTTGAATAGTTTGTTATGAGTCAGTAACTGTGTGTGTATGTGTCTGTGCAGGTGAATGAGGAAGCAAGTATAACCAAAGTGGATGAGTATGTTGAGCTGCTTTATGAAGGCATCCCAGAGAAGATCAGAGGTTCTGCTCTCATTCTGCAGCTGGCTCGCAACCCTGACAATCTAGTGGAGCTGCTGAAAAGTGGTGCGGCTTCACTCCACGTGTTAATATTAATGGTTAACAAAGTAGCTCATACCTACACATTCATAATAATAGCTCAACAAGTGAGTTAGTAACTCACAATCCTACAATACAATCCTTGTATCTTTAGAGTATTTAGTACGGGAAGCTCTTGTGCAGTGCCTATGAGTTGAATAACTCAATTATCAGTTGCTTATATAAAATGGGTATTGTTTAGTAATTCAGCCATGAACTGAGAGACACCATATCCTTGTATCTTTAGAGTATTTAGTACACATCATTTGTTTATGGAAACTATGTTGCAGGGTCTTTGGAATATTCTCATATTTTCCATATTAATACATTATCTAAAAATTCATTCAACATTTGATTCACATTGAGCTTAATTTTGCGTTGCATTGTGGGTAAAAACCAAGTTATCTTTGGTAAACCCAAGTTCCAAAAGAATTCAGCAGCTGGTTGCATGTGCTGAACTGAGTCTGATTTGTAAAGACAACACTTTTTTATGTTGTAACTAGTTAATTTCATGTAACACTCTCCTCAAATCATTTTCCAAACATTGTTTCACCTAGTGCTGCCTTCAGAGGAAACGGGAGTGTAAAATTAAGAGAGAACTATGATCTTGGTGTAAAGCTTTCTCTATTCTGTACCTGTAAGTCATGTCACATCGTTTGAAATTTGCGTGTCTGTGTGTAGAGGCAGCTCTAGGAGCTCTGGCCAGAGTGCTGAGGGAGGACTGGAAACAGAGTGTAGAGCTGGCTACCATCATCATTTACATCTTCTTCTGCTTCTCTAGGTAACACAAATACACAATAGTCCACAGTCCTCTGTCTTGTTAGTATGTACTGCTGTTCTACTGCGGCCTCCCCTTATCTCCAGCTTCTCCCAGTTTCATGGAGTGGTGAGCCATTATAAAATAGGTGCGTTGTGTATGAGTGTGGTGGAACATGAGCTGAAGAGGTACGATGTGTGGCGTGAGGAGCTGCACAAGAAATCCAAAGCCTATATCCTTTTATATATGCTGTCATTTCCCCCTCCTCTTCATTTGTCTCTTATGTCTACCCTCAATGTGTATCGCCCCTGAATTATTTTGTTGGTGTACAGCAGTTGTTCCTTAACACTGCTGTGTACATGAATCAGCACCAGAGAATGGCTCTTTACGAAGAGACCAAGACAAAGCTCTGAGGAAATACCAGGGCCTTCTGGCTAAACAGGAACAGCTGCTCAGAGGTAGGCTGGCCTTTCTACGCTGAAAGAACAGCTTTTTTTGGTTTGTTTTTTCATTTGTCATGCAGTGGCTGTTACACCAGTGTCTATATTTTTCTTTGCTGAAATGTGCATTCAGTGTTGATGCATCAGTTAAATCCAAGCAGCAGTGTGCACATTCCTTGTCACATCTGAACAAGTTTAAGGCTTTCCCACCCATCTTCTTCACTCTGTATTAGTTTGAAATCATTTTTATTTCCAGCAATATCGAAACAGCATTAGTTGATAGCTTAACAAGCCCATACATTAACTAGCTTTATAAGACCCTACATTAAATGAAAGGCATCAGTTACAGCTTAACTAGCTTTATAAGACTTAAACCCCTACATTAAATGAAAGGCATCAGTTAGTACTTGTGAGGCTTAACTCTATGAAGTCTACTTCTCTTTCATGTTTTGCTCCTCATTTCTTCCCCTCTCTCTCTCTTTGTCCCTTTCCTACACTGTCTCCCAGTGTCTCTTTACCTCCTGTTGAACCTTGCTGAGGACACGAGAACAGAGCTGAAGATGAGGAATAAAAACATAGTGGGTCTGTTAGTCAAAGTTCTTGAGCGTGATCATGAGGAGCTGCTGGTCCTGGTGGTTTCATTCCTCAAAAAACTGTCCATCTTCTTGGAGAACAAGAATGACATGGTGAGTGGAAGAGATGGACTTAAGATTTCATCGTGGCATGAGAAGAACCTCAAATACCTCTTCTTGTTTTTGTCACCGTCAAATTATTCAGTTTTGAGAATCAGTTACAATTTATAAAGCAATCAATTATTCAAGTAAAAAACATTATTACTTGATCAGTGTGAGGATTTGATACTTTTTGTGTTTTCTTATTATTCATTTTCTACCGCTTAGTC